CGGTAGCGACCTCAAAGCTAATTTGATTCGTCATGGGAAACAAATGCAACGAGGTGAGCCAAAATGATCAGATATTTGAGTTAGATTATTCTATCTCAAAGGCGATACGCTTTACCTTTTTAAAGTAACATCGATTTCGACAAGATTTCTTTCTTCCCTCTATAATTATATTAAAAACGTTTGATTTGGCTCACTTGAGGTACAAGTTTCCGTTAGCCGGGAGGAGAGACACTGCAAAAGTAGCAAAAGAACTGGTAAGGCTGCTAATTTATAGGTTCGTTAAAATTTATTGCTTAAATTTACCCCATTTGCCTCAAATTAGGTCTTTTCCCGTTCATCATTTGCCTTGACTTGCCTTCTTAAGGCTATTGTCAACAAAATAGCGTGCGCTGGAACCACAGAAAACTGTATATCATTTTATTATATGGCCGTGTCTCACAAGGATTGGGAACTGCCAAATTCACGACTTTGATTGGCTGAAATCAATATTGGCCGCAGTCTAGATTTTCCCATCTAGACCGGCATCTAGACCGGTAATGTTTTGCAGTGAAAAAGTTGCAAACTAGAATGCAAATTGACTATTTTCTTCTAACGATGTTTATTAATGGAGTGCCAAAAACCTTGGTGAGAAAAAAAAGTAAAGAGGACGAGCAAACTTTGGCAGAATTAAATTCAGCTCATCGCTGTTCGCACTGAAGCAAAATGTCAGTTAGTACAAACCGTTACATTAAACGAATTAAATTGTTCTTGTTTGCCATATAATAAACATCTTATTAACCGAACTTAGTCGGTCGGTATGGGAGAATCTTGACCTCGGTCGTGTGTAGAGACCTCACTGTGTTCGTACTGTACTCACGACCGAGGTCAAGATTCTCCCATACAGACCTCCAACTCGGTTAATAAGAGCTAAATAATAGACTAAAATCCACTTATTAGGGACCTATTAAAAAGCTGAAGTATTAGATAAGGGCTTATTAGAGATGGGGTGAAGAGAGGTGTTGTAATTTTATTCAGTGGAAATTAACTTAAAAAGATAGTTACTCATTTGTCTCGTATCGGCATCTGAATGTTCACCTGTAAACATATGAATTAAATTTGGTGGAGAAAGATAACCAGTTAGGTTAAACAGCCAGAATTTAGTGATGGCCGTTATACATGTAGAAAGTTAGACTCGTTATATATAGTGCTATATTACATAGTTTTAGCCTATTCTATAAATTAGAAATAGTTTTCAATTGAACAAAAATGTTATGATTTATAGTGTTTAAGTCAGTTTCTTGTTTAGATGCCTGCCTTAACTTTCCTTTTTTTCTCGGAGGTCTGGGGAGAGCCAGAAACGAGCTGGCGCTCCTGGAAGCTCGGAAAGGGCCTGAGAGCGAGATAACAAATGTTGCCCTCTTAACCTGGAGGTTTTACTGAAGTACACATTTGTCGATAAGGGGATGGTATAAAATAAGGGGATGGTATAAGATAAGGGGATGAGGGGATGGTTTATTTTTATTTTTTTTAATCGTGCACAATTAGTCATGATCCACTTTTTAAAG